CCCGCCTGGCCCTCCTCCAGTTTCCCAGCTCTGTGAAAGGCCCACCACCCAGCCAGGGGCTAAAGGCCTCAGGGGTTGGCTCCTCCCACTTCTATCCCCAGGTCATTCACCCGGTGGATGAGACCACCCCCTGAGGATCTCTGGGCTCTGCCCAACTTCACTCTCCAGGGCTGCCAGCCTTGCCAGGGGCCTCTCTTACAGGAGTCACCCAATAACTTCCTACTGGTCTTCCTGTCTCCACCCCAGCCCCTTCCCATCCACTGTCGGTCCAGCTGATGTATCAGTGTGTCATTTACCTGTTCTAATCTTCTGAGGCTTCCCTTTGCTGCCCTCGGCTACTGTCCTGGAGGAACAGCCCGGTGGTTAGGACAGTGAGCTCTAGAACCTGAATCCCAGCTCTGCAACTGTGTGACCTTGAACGCCCTACTTGACCTCTCTGCCTTAGAAGAGGCAAAATGAAATAATGACATAAAGGAGAATGGTAAATGATAATGAAATAAATTAGTTAATGATAACAATAACCCCTACCTTTTATAGCTGTTGTGAGGATTGAATGTTAATATTATAATAAGGCCCTAGTGATCTGGACCATGTCTAGGTCTCCAATCTCACCAGTTCTCGTCTCCCCTGTAAATCAGCTGAAGTACTTTAGATTTTCTGAGAGTATCAAATTCTCTCTCTCTGTCCTCCTTCCAACCCCTCTGAGCTGCAGTTGGGCCAGGGGCCTAGTTCTTTCCCATTGGATCTCCAACAGCTAGACAGTATGTTGAAAGAATGAATGAATGAGGAAGGCACTGCATTCATTTTTGTTTTGTGAGAGAGGAAGGGAGAGAGAGAGAAACCTCAATTTGTTATTCCACTTATTTATGCATCATTGGTTGATTCTTGCACATGCCCTGATCAGGGATCAAACCTGAAGCCTTGGTGTATTGGGTTGACACTCTAACCAACTGAGCTACCTGGCCAGGGCCTGGGTTTTAATGGATGAATAGGAGTTTTCCATGTAAAGAAGTGATGGAGTCAGGGTTATAAAAGGGCTTGTTCCATCCTTGGGGCTGGAGGCTTCCAGTGCCTGGAGAACAGAAGGGAGGTGAGGTTGGAGAGGGAGGCTGGGTTCAATCTTGACCTCTCTGTGTAGGCAAAAGATATTCATGAGGGAAGGCTTTGGGGACAGTGGCAGTTGCTTGCAAGAGAGACTAAGGCTGGGAGCTGGGTATGTGGCTAAGCTCCAGAGGAACAATGAAGAGGCCTGAACCAGGGCAGTAGCTATGGGAATAGAATTTGAGAGATATTTGAGAGAAAGAATATAATCTACTAAACACTTTTAATGAATGCCTCCTCGGGGATTGTGGACATAAAGAGCAGAAGTAACATTTCCCCCTGTCTTCAAGTAGCTCAAATCCTAGGAGAGGCAGACAGACCTGGATGCAGCGAAGGTCAAATAGGGATGCAGGGAAGGTCAAATTTAGTACCACTGCAGCCAGTCTCATAGAGAGATCTCCATATATGTAAAATTGGCAAAATAAAGCATCATGCATTTCTGAGTGTCTGTCACCTACCCCAAGCTTTTTTGTAAGTTCTCAAATTTTTATTTGGTTAAAGCACGCTATAGTATATTTTCTTTTCTTTTTAAAAAATAAATATATCTTTATTGATGCCAGAGAGAGGAAGGGAGAGGGAGAGGGATCGAGAGAGAGAGAGAGAGAGAGAGAGAGGGAAACATCAATGATGAGTCGTCATTGATCGGCTGCCTCCTGCACATCCCCGACTGGGGGATTGAGACCGCAACCCAGGCACGTGCCCTGACCGGGAACTGAACCACCATCTCCTGGATCCTAGGCCGATGCTCAACAGCTGAGCCACACCCATCAACTTTATTTTCACAACCCACCAACTTTAGAGGGAGTATAATGCAGAGGTTTAGACTTAGCAGTCCCCGATCTTGGACAAGTTATTGAATTCTCTTAGCCCAAGCCCAAGTTAGGGCCTTGTGAGCTACCATAAGGGTTTGGACTTTATTATTAGTCCAGTGAGAAGTTACTGAGGTGTTTTTTTGGTCCCAACTTATTACCACTTTTCAACTGAAATGTAACCTGCCTACAGTAAATGCAAAGATCCTAAGCGTTGAGTTCTACGAGTTTTGAGAATTGTATACATCTGTATAACCAGCCCCCTAAAAGAAGATACAGATCATTTCTATCATCCCAGAAGGGCCCTGCCTGTCTCTTTCCCGTCGATTCTCCCGGTGTCAGAGTACTGAAGGGTCTACGTACTAGATTGTGTTTGTGTTTTGAAGGAATCGCTCCGGCTGCAGGGCAGAGGACAGTCTGGGACCAGCAAGGAGAGTATGGCCCTGAGGGTGCTCTGAGGTCGCCTAGCAACCAGATAGCGTTGTCCCTGGGTTGCCAGCTCCGAGGAGGAGACGGACCTTTAGGCTCCGCCCCATCCCACCAAGGCCCCGCCCCACCCCGCTCCGCGAAGGAGCCAGTAGGCAGCGCCGCCCTACGTCGGGGGGCGGGCACAGGCTTCTTATTGGTCGGTTCTCCGGAAGCCCTAGTGTGCGACCGCCGGGCTGCTCGAGGGTGCGCGGTGCGTGCGGTGGCGGGTGGCGCGTGGCGGGGGGCAGGGCGGGCAGNAGATACCGTCGCGCTGAGCCTCAGTTTCCTCCCTTTGCAGTAGCGGAGCATGACCCGAACGGGACACCGCAGACCCTGCCTCACAGCCACATTGCCGGCCAGAGGGTCGTCTCGGCGATTGGAGGTCAGGGTCAGGGACAGGGACAGGGACTGGACCCAGGCCCAGGTGCGTGACTGACCCTCCCGTTCCCAGAGCCCCCAGCGCAGGCCAGGATGTTCGTCTTGGTGGAGATGGTGGACACGGTGCGGATCCCCCCGTGGCAGTTTGAGAGGAAGCTTAACGACTCCATTGCCGAGGAGCTGAATAAGAAGTTGGCCAACAAGGTACTGGGCCCATGGGGTCGCGGGTGAGCCTTGGCACGGGAGGGCCCAGCGCCGCCCGCGCGCATGCTGCAGGCCTGGCCTTGGTCATGCCAAACCTTGGCCTTATCTTAGAACTCAGTTTCCTCACCTGTGCGTGAATGTTGGCGGGACCCAAAAGAGAAACTGGGTCAGAGAAAGGCCCTAGTAACTGCGAAGTGCTAGACCCCACACTTCCAAAGTACTTTGCAGTCTTGGGTAAGCATTTGCCCACTCTGGGCCTCGGTTTCCATTTGTAAAATAGAAATAATTGCTGTCCAGCCATGCATTGTTTTGTGAAGATGAATGGTCAGGAGGCTTTTCCACTCATTCCTGCAAAAAAAAATGTATGTGCCCCTTCTTCTATGTGTCAGGCCTATGTGCCTGAGTGCCAGCTCACCGGAGGTCTTCCCGCAGCCTTTTCTGTAGTGACCCTCCTTCCTCAATGATTCTGTGTCATACACTCTTTCCTTCTTAGCAATTCACTTACTATATTTTTTGTCTTTAAAAAATATATGTTTTTATTGATTTGCAAGAGAGGGAAAGGGAGAGAGAGAGAGAGAGAAAGAGAGAGAGAGAGAGAGAGAAAGAGAGAGAGAGAAAGAAAGAAAGAAACATCCATCAGCTGCCTCCTACACACCCCCTCCTGGGGTTGGAGCCTGCAACCTGAGCATGTGCCGTGACCGGGAATCGAACCAATGACCTCTCAGTGCTTGAGACGATGCTCAATCAACTGAGCCACACTGGCCAGGGCACTATACTCTATTTTCTTATTTGTTTACTGGGTTACTGTTTTTCTCTTTTCCTCTCTATGAGAACAGGGACCTTTGTCTGTCTTCTTCCCCACAGTATCTTCAACATTAGGCAGAGCTACGCACAGAATAGATGTCCCATAATTGTCTGCTGATTGATTCATTGACACAGACAAGGTCTNTATTAGGCAGAGCTAGGCACAGAATAGATGTCCCATAATTGTCTGTTGATTGATTCATTGACACAGACAAGGTCTGCCTATAGTGTGGTGTGAAAAGCAGATATGAATGAGAGGGTCCCACAGTTGAGTGTTATGACAAATTGAAGAAAAGGCTATGAAGGACAGGTGTTCACAGCCTGTGGAAGAANGTTATAACAAATTGAAGAAAAGGCTATGAAGGACAGGTGTTCACAGCCTGTGGAAGAAAGGAATTTAACTTACAATGTGGGAAACTAGCTGCTTTGTTAGAGCCAGGAGGAGCTAACTAGTCGATTAGTTTTTCATGGTGGGAGGGGCTGGGCAGAGAGAAGAGCTGTGCAGGCAGAGGAAACAGCATTTGCAAAGGCCCTGTGGCCTTTGGAGGGAATATTGCACCTTCATGGCATGGAAGAGGCTGGTATGGCATGGGCAAGCTGACTCGGCTGCAGAGGCCAGGCCACACAGGGCCTGCAGGACTTCATGGGGTATTGGTTTTCATCCACAGAACAGCAGGAGGTGATAGGTGGGGAGGATCCAGCAAGGAGAAGATTGACTGGCTTCAGACAGGAGGCAAGTCCCTTCCATAGAGGCTGAGCTCACAGAAGGGGGTGTGCAGATGTGGGGAGTTGTTGGTGGTGGAGAGAACTCATGGAGTCCTTGGTACTCATGGAGTCCAAAGTTCTGGTTACTTTGTGATGTAGAAAGCAAAGGGACCTATGGGGGATGAAGTGTGACCATCGTGGAGAGAGGTGTGCCAAGTCCAGGAAAGGAATGTTCTCCTTTTGTGGCATGGGTCCTTCAGTGACCTGTTGAAACAAGTCTTTCTGTATCTGAATCATTCAGTCATTTGAGAGGAGGCCGCACAGAAAGGTCCATGGTCTGGCTAAGGACATAGAGCTTGTGCTGGACTTTGCCTCATGTGGTGAGGTCTGGCCAGGACTCTGAGTCCTCTGAGCTTCTTGCTAATCCTTGAACAGCCCTGCAAGGTCTCTCATTGGGAGGTGATGATGGTGGTGGCAGGTTAGCAGACACCAAGCAAATGACCAGTTGTTCAGAGCACCATGCAGTGGGGAATGGGGCATGGGATGTTCTCTGCCCAGTTTTGTGACCTTGACCATGTGTCACTCTGCCAGCCTCAGTCCTTGTGGCCACGTTTGTGTGTCTGAGATTTTGTGAGCAGAAGGGAGATTAGCTGTGGTTCTGATGTTCACTGAGCTGTGGGCTCTAGCATGGACTTGGGGAGCTTGGAAAGTGTAGGTTTAACCAGGGGTTCCCCTACCACTATCCTTACTAATAATAATAGTAATCCTTGCCCGGCTGGGCGTGGCTCAGCTGTTGAGCGTCGACCTAGGATCCAGGAGATGGTGGTTCAATTCCCGGTCAGGGCACATACNGGTTGAGCGTCAACCTAGGATCCTGGAGATGGTGGTTCAATTCTCGGTCAGGGCACAGGCCCAGGTTGCGGGCTCGATCTCCAGTTGGGGGCGTGCAGGAGGCAGCCGATCAATGACTCCCTCATCATTGATGTTTCTGTCTCTCCTTCTCCTTTCCTCTCTCTGAAATCAATAAAGATATATTTAAATAAATAAATAAATAAAATAATAGTAATCCTTGATTAATTGTTATTATTTCTTGCATGTAAGCCAGGTACTAAGATAGGGGCTTNATTTCTTGCATGTGAGCCAGGTACTAAGATAGGGGCTTCCCATCCATTCTCTCTCTTTATTTAAAAATAACCTCCAGGTTGGCATGTCCATTTTTGTAGATGGGGAAACTGAGGCTCAGAGGTGATGTTGGAGGTCACACAGTAAGTGGTGGAGCTAGTATTGTAACCTGGATCTGCCTTGTCACCAAAGGCCCTGTTATTTTCAGAATAACCTCCCTCTGAGGTTCCTTACCTGTGCTACTTTAGGAAGTGCCCCAACTCATTTCCAGCTGTAAAACTGAGGTGATCATACCTGCCCTGAGGTGGGTCTCGAGAGAGACTAGACTGCCTGGAGCTGGGCCTGGGGTCACCGTGTGTGTGTGTGTACACTGATGCACGTAGGTTGTCTACAACGTGGGACTCTGCATCTGTCTGTTCGATATCACCAAGCTGGAGGACGCCTACGTGTTTCCCGGGGATGGCGCGTCGCACACCAAAGGTGAGTACCCTCTCCTCCTGGGGCATTGGATTTTTGAGGCTCAGTTTTCGGGGGTGGGAGGTCCTGGTCTGGGGGTTCGGAGACCTGGGACCTAGTCCTGACTCTGCTAGGAATTGACTGGGTGACAATGGGCAGCATCTTCTCTCTGGGCCTCGGTTTTCTCACCTATAAGAAATGGGAGGTGGACAAGTGGTTCTCAGGGCCTCTCCCGCTCTGAGATCGTGGCTCTGTGCCCACACCCCCTTTGGTCTCGTCTGCTCCTGAACCCTGCTTTTTGCCTGGCCCTCAGGCTGGTCAGGCTGGTGGCGGGTGGGCAGGCCAGACAAAGACACTTGGAGAGGTCACTGCTGGGTTAAAAGTGTGGGGAGCAGAGGGGAGCACAGCTGTCCCTCCTGGGAGAAGGTGGTCGGGGGTGAGGGACTCTGAGGGGCACAGGACGTAATGGTTAAAAGCGTGGCCTCTCGGTTCAAATCCCAGCTCTCACTTACTCACTGTGTCCTGAGCGGAGTGTGTAACGTCTCTGTGTCTTGTTTCCTCATCGGTACAATGCAGTTTACAGCAGGTCTTACGTTACGGGACTGTTGGGAGGATTACTAAGGGAATACATGCAGAGCTCTTAGGACAGGACCTCGGCACGCAGCTAATGCTCAGCGCTCATCAGTTGAACCTTTTTCCCGAACCTGGGGGTCAGCTGGGTGGTTTCTTCTGGCCTGGCTTGGCCAGGGCTGGCTAATGTAGGGTGGCCTCGCGTGTCTGGTGGTTGGCAGACTGGTTAGTGGTGGGGTGGGGGCATCAGCCGGGGTGGCTCATTCTGTTCCGCATGCTCTCACCTTTCATTAGAGAGCCCCTGCTTATATCCCACTGGCCAAAGCAGGTCACATGGCTGAGGACAGCATTGGGGGTGGAGAGTTGCAGTCACTGCAGAGGGCTGTGCACCAGGGATGGGAGGACTTGCCGTGGGACCTGGAGGGAAGGGGGGAGAAGTAGAGGAAGGATCCCCTGGGGAGAGCTCTCAGGACGAGCGGGCCAGGCTTATCTCTCCTGCCTGAACCCAACCAAGTCAGAAGCAGAGGGCAAAGGGCCACTTAGGTGGTTCAGGGCTAGTCAGAATCTGGGCACGAGACTTGCCCTGTCTGCCCCAGACCTGCTGAGTCACAGTCTCTGGGAGTGGGGCCTGCAAGCCGTGTTAACTGGGAGCCAGGTGACTGTCACACAGGGCCACGTTTGAGGAGCCCTGCCCTGGTCCATACTGCTCAGCCTCTTGGCACCGGCGCAGAGATGTCGAGCATTCCAGAACGTGCCATGCAGCTGCCTGGTGTCTGTGTCCAGGGATCCAGAGACTTAATTAGCTCTCCTGGAGCTGTCATGCTCTGTAGAGAGCCCTGAGAAACAGGAGCAGTTTCACTAGCAGAAAAATAAGACGGTGCTGCAAGGGCCTCTGTCTACGGAAAAGGGTGCTGTCGAGGTGAGCCCAGTCTCTGCTTCTGGATGGGGGCCTTGGGTTACAGGAGACAAGTAATAAGAGGCACCAGAACTTCAAGAAAAACTGAGAAAGAAAAGTTAAATTTGAAGAAATTCTGTCCATTTGGTTGTTTCTGTCAGTGAGTGTAAGATTTCACTTGGTTTTCACTCCCCGCCCCCATTCACCTGGGTCCCCCGTTTTCTTGGGAGTGACATATGAGGAGTAGAGCACTGAGCTTGGCCCCTCGTGGCCTGTCTTTGAATTCTGGCTCGGCTTTTCTGGGTGGGGACCTTGGGCAAGTAACTCTACCTCTCTCAGCCTCTGGACTTGCTTGTTCTGGACATTTCCCAGAGGTAGGTCATACACTCTGTGGCCTTTGTAAGTGGCTTCTTTCACATAGCGTGATGTCCTTGAGCATCATCCACGTTGGAGCACATGTCAGCACTTCATGCCTTTGAGGGGGAATACTATCCCATCGCACGGATAGACCACAGTGTGCTCACCAGTCATCTGTTGGACTCTGGGTGGCTCCCCGTGTGCTTTTGCATGTGGCTGCTCCAGACTGGTGTTCCCTGGGCACAGGATCATATTCCTCCCCGCCTCGTAAGTCCAGTGCCCAAACCGGCCTGGCACAGACTTGGTAGAGGTTCCATGGGGGGTTTAGTAAACTGAACTGATGTTGTGTCATATGGGGGACAGGGTTTTTCCATTCTGTGGGTAAGTGACCCTTGGCTGCCCTCATTTGCTCTCCGTGAGATCAAATGAGGACTTGTCGCCTTCATGATGGCTTAGATGACTCCTGTTTGTCTCCTTGCAGACAGGGAGGAGTTACCCGCTGCCACCTCTCCTTCCCCCCATGCCTTCCTGCCCAGTGGTCATGAGGAGGCAGCCTGGCAGAGAGCTAGGGGCACGTGGGCCTTGCTGTCCCTTGGCCAACCAGGCAGCTGAGGGTGCTGGTGGCAAAAGCCTGTGTTTGGGGATTAAACCTGTCTGAGGATGGCAGATTAAACCCCATGGCCCTGTCTGCTGGTCCAGAAAGACTTGGAGTCCCCCCATGGCAGAACAGGGCAGAATAACTGTGGGTATGAGCAGGTTACCCAGCCTCTCTGCAATAGTAGCATGACAGGCGACAAGGTTAGATCGGGAGTCACTCAGTGACCAGCAGGGGGCAGCCTCATAGTTACTCTCTGGCCCTGGGTATTCAGGCCAGTGGTGAGTGCCACCCTCCTTCTTCAGTGCTTTAAGCAGGGGCAGGAGTGACAAGGTGATGGCTTCTGCCAGGCGCTGGGTCAGAGTGGGCACAGACCTCACCTGGCATTTTCCTTGCGGTCCTGCTAATGGGGCCATCTAGGGCAGGGTCCGAGAACCTGCAGAAGCGTTTTCGCTGGGTTATCAGCTCTGTCCCCCTTCCTTAATTTCAGAGCACTTTTAGCATTCTCTCCGGGTCAGAGCTGTGCCTGGGGCAAACTTCACCAGGCAGCGGGAGCCTTTGCCAGGTGCTTCTGCCCTTTTAGAATCGAAAGGAGAGAGCCTGGAGGGAGATTGGAATTGACTTTGGAGTCATCAACAGCCCAGAATCTGGGCCCAGGTGTGACTTAGCTGATGGATTTGGGAGCCAGCTGTCAGTTCCAGGGCCACTGCTGCTGACCTCTTGTGAAGGCCAAGCTGTGACCTCACAGCGCACGGCGTGAGGGTCCCGGCTCAGCTGCCTGGTCTGGGCCCACAGGGGGATCCCCGTGGACTGCCAGGCAGGCTCCTGGAGCAGCTACGGGACCTCTGGGTCTGTGCTGGCGAGTGAGGGCTGCCCTGGTTGCAGCAGCCATTCTCTGCGTGCCTGCTCGTCCCTGACATGCCTTCTTCTTTCCAGTGCATTTCCGCTATGTGGTGTTCCATCCGTTCCTGGATGAGATTCTGATCGGAAAGATCAAAGGCTGCAGCCCCGAGGGAGTGCACGGTAATGGCAGCCCTGACTCCTCAGATGAGACCTGAGAAGGGTGGGGGGACAGTGGTCAGGCCAGATGGCCTCCCTTTAGCTTCTGTGCTGCGCCCCATGGTCAGGGAGAGGTCAGATATAGAAGCAGAATCTTCTCGGGATGTCAGAGAAGCTTGTGATTGAGAGTACTCAGCCCTCTCTTGCGTTCATGTAGGGCGAGGACCTCAGCCACTGTGAGGCTCCACCACGAGGTGGGGCCCTAGGACTTCAGGGTGGGCTCTGGAGGGGGGGGGGTGCGGTGACTCAGGGTAATCAGCACTCACTGGCCCATGTTGTGTGCAGTGTCCACCTCAGGTTTTGGTGGCTGCTCAGGATGTGTGAGTGGCATAGGCAGAGGCCCATGTGGGACTTCTAGGTTGGGGAGGGGCCCAGGTTTCCATGATGCAGCTCCCAGCAAGGGGCTTGCCTCTCGGATATGCAGAGCCCTCATTGTTGAACTGTCCACTGTAAGCCCCGTCCCATGCTGTCCCTTTTTTCCAGTCTCTCTGGGGTTCTTTGACGACATCCTCATTCCCCCGGAATCTCTGCAGCAGCCAGCCAAGTTGTATCCTGCTGGTTAAAGGGTCCCAGAGCTCGGGCCTCTCTGAAGGACTGTCCTCGCTCCATGGGTGGCCCTGCATCCTGGGATCTGATGCTGCGGCCTCTGTGCCTCCCCCACCAGCCTGCACTTATGTTCTAGAGCATGGACCTGCCTGTGCTTCCCCCTGACCATGGGTCCCCACGCCTGGGCCTCTGTCTGGGCTGCCAGGCCTGGTTATGTAGTGTACACTGTAGGCAAGGCACTGCTCACTTCCAGTTCACTTTGCTCAGGTTGTCCCTGCAGGAATCATCTCAAAGATAATTTCCCTTGAGAGCTTTGCTCCGACTGGCTCACCGCCCCTCCTCCCTGGTCTGCAAGTGGTAGCTAGCTAGCATCTGAGGGCTTGACTGAGGGTCCTGGCCTGCGTTGTTGCCCTCCGCTGGTCTGCCCCATTGTCCCTGTCCCAGCCCTCGCCTGCTGCACTGCAGTTGTCTGTTTCTGTGCATTGTCACTGAGACTGATCACTGGGAGGGACCCCATTCTGTCACTACTATACCCATGGTGCCCAGCACAGGACCTGGCACAGGAGAGGCAGGACCCCAGGGCTGCCACTAGAGGGCAGTGTGGCTCTTCATTGTGGGCTCTGTAGGGAGAAGGCCTAGTTGCCCTCACTGGTTCAGCAGACAGCTCTGGCTGGGCCTGTGCAGGGCCAGGGTCAGGGTCTGTATGTGATTCCAGGATTTGTCAGAAAACCTGACCCAGCCCTGCTGGTCCTCTTGCCAGCTCTGGGCCCTCGGGTAGGACCTCCCATCCTACCACCAACCCCTTGAAAATTGAGAGGTGTGGATGGAGAGGGATGTGGAATCTCCCCGTGCACAGAACACAGAACAGCTTTAGCTGACACTGGAGGGCCTACTCGTGGGTCCTGCGGAAGCACTTTCCGTGTTTCCCTCTTTACCACAGCCCTGTGAGATGGGCCTTGCTACAGCCCCCCTTTTATAGGTGGGGACCCTGAGGCACTGAGACGTTGGGCCTGACCCAGGCCACAGCTGGCGGGTGGTGGGGCTGATTCTGCACTTGGCAGTTGACACCTGAAAGGATGCACAGGCTGAGCTAGCCTCGGCAGGGAGGGGACCCCAGGCAGTAACAGGCCCTGGTCATTCCCATCTTGAAGGGAGAACTCAAGCTCTGCTCTGAAGCCTCCTTCCTGCTTTGATGGCCTGAGGAAGCCTGGGGGTGCTTGGGGGGGGCGTTCCCAGCATTGGTCCTGTTCTCCAAGAGCTGCTCCTCTCTAGGGGGCCCAGACCTGGCCCAACCTCACCACTTGCACATGGGCCTGCTTTTCCTGTGACCTCTCAGCCAAAGTGAACTCAACCTGGAATTGGATTTTCCTGGGGGGGTGCTGTGGGAGGAACCCCCAACCCTCAGGAGCTCCTCCGTGGCCCGGTTGTTACCTTGACCTGGGCCCCACTCAGCGACGATGCAGAGCAGGTGTGGGTGTGGGAGTACGAGACGGAGGAAGGAGCACACGACCTGTACATGGACATGGGCGAGGAGATCCGCTTCCGGGTGGTGGACGAGAGCTTTGTGGACACGTCCCCCACCGGGCCCAGCTCTGCCGAGGCCACCTCTGCCAGCGAGGAGCTGCCCAAGAAGGAGGCCCCGTACACGCTTATGGTGAGATGTCCGATGTGCTGCCGAAACCACGGGACCGTGTGGTAGGCGAGCCCAGCTGCGAGTGGCGCGGGAGCCGTTTCCTTGGGTGGTGGCTTGGGTTCCACTCCTAGAACCCCCTCTCCCAGCAGGTCAGCGTGCGGGTCCTTGTGTGTTCTTGGGCAGTCACTTCTTGGCTTCTGTAGGTTGGGGCAGTAATCCTTATGGGGAGGTGTAGGCCGGGGCAAGAGAGGGACAGCCCAAGCTAGATGACAGGGCCACTGATAATGGGAGAAAGAAACCACAGAGGGGACTTGGGAGGAGACCAAGTCCCAAGAGCAAGGGTGGGGCTTCAGGGAGGGTGACTCACACCAGACCCAGCCTGGGCCTGAGGTGACAGGGAAGCTGTGACCAGCCAGATCCAACTTGGGTTCTTTTTTCCCTTTATTCTCATGAACTCAGCGACACATGACAAAAGTGGGTTTCAGGGGCCCTCTAGTAAGGTTTTCTGGTATAAAGTGGGCCCCAGGTTGTTCACTTTGGGGGCAGCTGTGTCTGTCAGGAATCCAGGTGGCCCAGGGCATCCCCTCTACATGTATTTGGCGGCTGGGGCTCAAGGTCACTAGGCGTACTGGCAGGAAGACACCTCAGGTGGCTTGGGAGGTCATGCTCATGACTGACCTGCTGGTGTCTGCACTTGGACAGGCCCAGGGATGAGGAAGGTACCTGACCCGGAGGCCTTGGGGCCAGGGGCCGTATCTTTAGTAAACCAGCACTTTCCTTACAGACCTCAGGGCAG